CGAAATGAGATAAAAAGAAAAATAATATATAATACATAATATAAAATATGTTGTCGCAATAAAGCTAGTGGAAAGGAAATATTATAAGATCACTCAAACGCGTCCTGCACTGACATGCAACGGYTGTGATGGTGGTAATTTAAAAAAAGGAATTTATGTGGGCATATAAACTATAAAGTATAAAATATCCCCTATAGAGTTCGTCAAAACGTTGAAAATGTTTACAACCGTGAGACGTTTATAACGTTTATAATGTTAAAAATACTATATAAATGTATATTAGATTTACGTACCTACCTACAATTTAATTAGGTTTCTCGCATTTGTACAGGTATGATCATATATTTTTGTCTCGTGAAGTCGTCATGAATAATTCAAAAAACTTTTTTTCTGAATACAAAATACATATATATACAATATACATATTTAATATTTATATACAAGGCGTAGAAATAAAAGGTAATATAACGTTGCTTTGTCTCTAGATATTTAATATTTTTCGTGGTTTCATGTATAGTTATATCTTATATGAAAATATATATATACATAACCTTATAATATAAAAGTCGAAGTTTTTAAAAGTGCACTCGAGTCTCGAATAATCGCACACATCATTGTTTATGGCTACGTATCCTTGCCATGGATAACAGTGGATGAGTGGTGCAACCGCATGTATCTATACATGTAGGATATTATTATTATTATTTAAAGGTGTAGTCTCGAGACCTTGCATTGATGTAATATTGTATAAAAAGGGACAACTCGCTGCTATATATGGTTTTGCGACACGTTTAATATAACTATGTAAAACATTAAATATTCACATATATTTATCTTATATTATAGGTAATAATATRGAAATTTGTGTAAAATTGGCTCGCGATTTTTATAATATATTGGACCTTAAAAATGTTTTTAACCTAACATAACTTAGTCCTAACTTCCTAAGGTAGTAARGTAAGCGGTACACGTCATGTAAAAGGGKTGCAGAGGTGTCACCCGAAGACTTTTGAAGTAGAAGCTGTAACAAACATTGCCTACATCAAATGTCTATAAATATTCATTGTAGATGTAAAATTACCATACATGATGTAATAGAAAGACCTGTCAAATCAAACATTTAAAAACTGATATTATATTATGGTAATATGAAAAAAAATATGATTGATGATGAATAATTTTAAATTTTCTATAATTAAGTATATCTGAAAATTCCCTTAAAGAACATTTTGAAATTAAATCATAGGTAAATAGTTGCATTTGGAAAATTGTATATACATAATATATATATAATATTAATATAGTTTTTAAATGTTTRATTTGACAGGTCTTTCTATTACATCATGTATGGTAATTTTACATCTACAATGAATATTTATAGACATTTGATGYAGGCAATGTTTGTTACAGCTTCTACTTCAAAAGTCTTCGGGTGACACCTCTGCAMCCCTTTTACATGACG